ACAGACTGGCAGTGGCCACAGCTGGACAATCTAGGCTTCGATGCTTACTTTCTGTGTGCTTGCGTGCCTGGATTCTTGTTCAGCAGCACCATTCTGCACCCTAGCCACCATGGTCAGAGCAGCAGTGACAGCATGCTGTCCCTGCTTACTTAGGGACTTCACCCTACAGACTTCAGTGATGTTCTCCCTAACCCAGCTGAGAACTCATGGGCCCAGGAAAAACAACAGGCCATGACTACTCATCTCCACTGTGTAATGATGGTGCTGCCAAATTTAAAGCCACACTGTGGCTCCACTTGCTTGGTCCTGTTCTATGTCCCCACACACAGAAAAACAACCAGAAATGCCCAAGGTAGGTCTGCAACTCAAACACATCTGTTTCCTGGAGCTATAAAATCTATTGCCTGATGGGGCAAGTCCTTCTGTGTATACTTATCTTATTGGTTGTTGAATAAAGTTGTTGGCCAATAGAAAAGCAAGTTAGGTGGGAGTAGGAGTCAAGGAGGATTCTGGGAAATGTAGTAGATACAGTAATAGCCACCAGGAAGACAGGATGCAAGGTCAGCGTCCTCTCTAAGTCTTATAAATATATAGATTAATAGTTATGGTTGATAACTAAGACTGATCTTGCAGATAAGAAATCCTAGTCATTGGCCAGCAGCATTGTACCTAATATAAGACTCTGTGTATTATTTTGGCTGTCCAGGTGGTAGGTGGAACTCGGGCGGCTTGGCGGAAAGGAAAGATTTATCATTACAATTGCCCTAAACTTTTGTGAGCATTCCTAGATTACAAGAAATCTATCAAGCTTTAATTATAAATTTCAGAAGAACTAAATCCAAGTGATCCAGGCATAGTGTGTGTGTTCCTGTCTGTCTCTGTCTCACACACACACCTGTAATCCAATTATTCAGGAGACCGAGGCAAGCTCACGCAATCAAAACTTCAAGGCCAGCACTAATCCAAATCCAACCTTATCTTTAAAGAAATTTTAAAGGGTTAGCAATATAGCCAATGGGCAGGAGCTTGCCCAATGGGTGTGTGTTGGATGCTGGGTTTGATTTCTAAGTTCTGGAAAAGGGCATTAGTTCAGAAAGTTTCCCACTAATAACAGTCTTGTCTACTATTAAATAACTGAAGTCAGACATCACTAATGAGGGCAATAGACTTGGTGAGAACCAAGAGGCACTCACTGTATCCTTCCTATGTTAATTAAACTTAAATAATGTACTTACACCTCAAAGGCTATGCTAACAACCTTAGAAGAACTCTGTATCTAACTGTGAAGCTGGGTGGTGGCAGTGCACGCCTTTACTGCCAGCACTTGAGAGGCAGAGAAGCAGGTGGACCTCTGAGTTCCATGCCAGCCTGGTCTACAAAGTGAGTTCATGGACAGCCAAAACTACGGGGTGGGGGGTGGTGGAGACAGGGACACGGCCTATGACTTCAAAGCAGAACAGTCATTTACCTATTCATCTATGTCCTTAACATTTCCTGTATAAACAGAATGTTCCACAAACAAATCCTGTCTCCACAAACTGAAGGGAAGGGGGAGAGGGGGGAGACAGAGACCAGGAAGATACCTCAAACAGCTCTGCATCACCCTTTAATAGCAGAATAAAGGAGAGACAGCTGGAAAAGGAAGCCTGGGCTACAGCTCTATGGTTAGGTGCTCACCTAGCATGTAAGATGCTAGGCAATTTGATGTCCAAGATTATCAGTCAGTCAGTCAGTGAGTCAATCAATCTGTAGAAAGCTGAAAAGAATCTTTAACTATAGTCAAAATTGGGTAGAGCAATATAAATCTAGGCTTCAGAAACACTCCTTGAGGGGAAATTTGTTCCCTCCCTCCCTCCCTTTCTGCGACAAAGTCTCTATCACCTCAATTCACATTCTCAAGTTAGGCCTTTGGGTGTATAAAAGACGGGGGTGTTTTTAAAAACTAGACTACCATGCTGGATCCCCACGCCAAAACCTTTTGGGCAAGATGATAAAGATGGAGGGGAAAAAACAAACAAACAAACAAAATCCAACCTTTGTAGGGGAAGAAGAGGCCAGTATTTTAAATGAGATTTAAAAAGTGGTTGAAAAACTAGAATTAGAATAAGCAAGAAAAATGAAGGTTAATTTAAAAATATATCCTTAGGAAAATACAATTTTATGTAGGATTTGCCAATACTGTCTAGTTGATAATTTATCTACTAGAACAAATACAACTTCTTGCAGTATTTTAATCAAATAAGATTTAAGATATTGTAACACGGCAGATTGATTTAAAATATTGCAACACTGGAGAAGATTCAACTACATGCAATTGCCTGTGTGTTCTTGCCTGGGTAATAATTAAGGAAAATCATTTACAATTTGAACTCAAACAGGAAAATCTTCACTGCCGTCATGTTAGGCCAACCCCTCCTCCAGGAGAACCCTGAGTGGCTAGCACACACCCAGTGGGTGGTTCCAGTGCTTACAGCACAGGGCTCTCAGTAGTTTCCTTAGAAAGTTCTCTCAATGACCTCCTAAAGGAAGTAATAGAAAATCTGACAAACTCCTGTCACAGCAGGCACATTTGTGCACTCTCTGCAAACAAGCATTAACTCATTTAAAACCCTCACAATGTGGACACAATTGTAACAGATGAAGAAACTAAGTTAGGAAGTGGCAGATCTGGTATTCAAACCCAGTAAAGCTCCTCATGAATATCATGCTTGGCCAACCACAAGTTTCCTCTTCTTGAAACTTGTAAAAGTCTCAGTGTTCTGGGTTATGTAGACCATTTCCCCGTTAAAAGCCTTGCGTAAGTTAACACCAGTCCCTCTCCAACAGCTATGCACTGATGAACAACATTTCATAAGGCATGCTGTGTTCAGAACAGGTCTGTGTGTACAAAACACTTTTACCTCAGCTTCTGTAATAGTGTATGTAAAAGCTTAGATGTCGGACTCCAAAGCAATCACTGATGGAAACTGCTTTGGCAAACAAATGCCCCCACCCCAAATTCTCAAGAAAACCCTTGAATCAAACCACGAGAACATGTTGATGGCCCCCAAACTCCTTCTAGACGGCAATGGGCAGTGTGGGAGACAATACTTTGGGACCACACACCTGAAGGCTTGGGGTGGAATCCCCATGCTTCCCAGTGTCCTGCACATGGTGCATCCTGAGCCCTGGGCCCAGCTTGGCTCAACATTTATTAGTCTTCTAATCCTGGGGAAACTCTTTAACTAGAGATACTTCCTCTTAGTGTCTACAGAATGGAGACAACACTTATAATTAAAGAACGAAGTTCCAAATAGAATGCTCACAGTAGATTTTCTTGAATAAATAGTTCTGCCTCTGGTAGAGCAACCAGTGGTCTTAACCACCAAGCCATGCATGTCTCCAGCCCAGAACTTACGTTTTTAATGGAATTCTAAAAATCTTCAGAATAAGGCTCAGAACTCACACTAAGGTGTGCGGAGAGTGTCTTCTGTCTGCTCCCACAGACTCTACGGTTGTTAACATTAAGTTTCAGGTCTCAGCAGGTGCCAGCACACCTTCATCTTTCCTTCCCTCCCCTTCACTAAACTACTGTTCATCAGATCCAGAACCCAACCACTCTCTTACCATTCACCAGTTACAATCTAGCTACACTGGATGCTCCAAATGTTCCCTCTGATTTCCTGTCTATTAAATGAACCAATATGGATCACATACCCACTCTCCACTCTCTCTCTTCAGAATCCTACAAGGATCAAAGTGGCCCACTTGCTAACTAGCTTTGACTTTCCAAAACATGGCTCAAGACCACCAGATAGTCCCCTCCTTGAGTCCACCTGGGCCTAAGCTGCACAGACAGCAGTTTTAGGAGCTACAGTAGAAGTCATGCATGAGGCCATCTCCCTCTAGCCCCGATCACTTTAACTTATCTATCTTCCCCTTTCCATTTTAACTGTAGGAAACACGATGTGTGTTTATAACATTCTCATGATTCAAACAGTGGTTGGCTGAGGGTAGGAGTGCTGCATCTCTGCTTCCCTCCCACCAGTTTCCTGTATCCCACCTGAAGGCTCAGCAAGGGATAAACATTCACATGGCACTTCCTGTTGAGATTTTGTTACAGAAAACACAACATTTAATATCTGTTGAATGAATGATCTTGACAATATCTAGTCTCAAAGTAAAACAGTGACCACCGTCAAAACTCATCTGTACTTACCATGTTATAGTAGACAAACT